TCTGTGGAGACACCCGTCACCTTCGGAACGGTTGCCCCCTGCGCAAGGCGCGTCAAGGCTCTATGAACCATCGCCTAATGGCTACCAGTCTGGTTCGTCGCGGGAAATGACAACACCCAGCAGGCGCGGGGTGACCAACTGAGTTCTGTTGAACCTCAGGAAGGTGGAGGTCAATAGGGCCCAGCTCCGAAGAGCTCCGTGCTCTTGAACACAGAACGTGTATGCAAGCCGGGGTTGCTGGTCGTGTAGGCGATTGTAATGGGCTTCGAGAAGCCATGGAAGATCCACATCGATTCTGGGGCGTCGAGCACTTATGCTCGACGCTCCACGATGGAAGGAAATCAGCAGTATGCTGAGGCGCTGAAAGCGCGGCTGGGCGACATCGTCACTGTTCGCCTGGCGACGGGGACGCGTGTCACGGTCCCGAGGGCCTCTGTGGTTTCTTGACTTTGATAGCGTGAAACGCTGTCTAGTCTTAGACTTGTATACAAGGTAAGACCTCATCCTAGGAACGGCATGATTGAAACACCATGAGCCGAGGATTGATTGGAGGTCAAAGACCTTGGTCGCCACGCGCACGTCTCCCGGTGGAGCTTTGGCGAGTCATGGACCCACCTCTGCGAGGAGACAAAAGCGGTATTGGTGAGAGTATTGGACCGAGATGGTCAACTTGCTGGAAATTGGGATGTCCGAGTTGGTAGACACCAACGGTGTATCAGACAGGAGGGAGTCCCGAGCGTGGCTCGCGGGCTGATCGTATAGTGGCACATAATCCGCTGAGCCCTGCTCAAGTTTCGGAGCAGTCGCTGCATGCATGCGTGACATGGTCGGCCAAGGGTCGAGGATTCGAGGGCGAGGCCCCCGTGATGCACGTGAAGTGGCACGTAAACCACTGCGCGCTGCTCGAGTATCGAAGCAGTCGCTACATGATATGCGTGGCATTCTACTTGCATGACCTAGGTCTCACAGATCTTATTTGAGAGTGACTAATCATGCATATCGCTGACTCCCTCTTTCAAATAATTCATGCGATGCACGAATGTTAGGGTGATTTATTTATAGCCGAAATGAGTGCTGCTATCCTGAGATGTTAACAAGAGCTTCATTATGCAAAACAGGTTTAGCCTGAAATTGGTCCACGACTTTTCCCCGACAAATTTCGGATTCAGCTTCGCGCATCTGGGATGGCGCAAATTCATCCAAAGCTCTCACTACAATGGAGTCAAAAACTCAGCGCACCATCAGAAAGCTGATTGCATTAAGCCCGGAATTGGCTTAGTCTCGCTTCTGACACTTCTTTGCCAAGACTCTGCCTATTATTAACATAGTGTGTCTGAGCACTGAAGTGAGATTAAACCTTAATCTAGTGGGTGTAAAGACTATTGAGACTTGAAAGGAAATCGCAAGATATAGAATTTCTCCTTGTCTTACGTACGGTAATAGTGACTCATGTATTGTATTACCCTTTTAGCGAGCGCGTGCTACTCATAAGTTAGGACTTTCTAAATATTTAGCTCACAAATCTTTCTGTCGTTTGCTGACATCGCGTTGTTCTTCCGAATGTATCTGAACTAGAGACCTATTCATGTAAGCGTAGCTGTGGAACAAGCCGCTGCACAGGGCGAGACTTGTAGACTGTCACCTCGATGATTTTTGGACGCTTCTATGCAGAGAAATAAAAATGATCGTCGTGTGGTCAACAAATATGGCATCTCGAATCGCTAAAAGGTGTGTAGTAGTGCTCGGAGTTTGTTGGCTGTCACCGCGCTTGCCGCGCCTGATTCAGATAATGATTACCGACATTATCGTGACCATGGACACAAAGAAATGGAGCGTGTAACAGTTTCACGCATCATAAAAATTTATCTTGCTTTGCGTAAGCTACTCAGAAACATGTACTTTTGCTATCGTCGGGAATTCATACAGTTCAGCTTCTCAAAAGAATGACCGTGCACGCTTCACATTTTTGTTGTTAAGGCTTGGCACGATCCATGGCTTCAGTGGTGTGTTAGCGCAAGAATTATAGAGAAGGTGAATCAGGACATTTTGAAATTTGGAGGTAAAGTAGTCGTAGAATGATCCTTCTTCAAACTCTACATACTTCAAGTTTTGTGTATTGTTACACAAGATTTAGTCACGATATATCAGAACGTTTTCATAATCTTTTCATTCAACATGACAACACCCTGTGACGAGAATTTGAGGCATAATTACGCAACTACAGACGCACCAATGCCCAAGCGTCTGTGTAAAACAAACTCTCGTTCATGTCCACAAGCAATTGTCTGTGTGTTTAGTGTCGAGAATTTGGTACGAGGGCTACTTCTACTGCTTGATTTACCAACGGTATGCAGCCTTCTTGAGGTACTGGCAGCTAACAATTCGTGGCGAAGTGTGCTGAGTAATAATGAAGTCTGGAATAAAATGCTTAGCGTTTATTTTGGAGGAGATTTGCCACCCACTGAACAACTTAACGACGATGAAGAACATGAGGTAACAGAAGAAGAAACTGAAGAGCAAGATGACGACGATGCACTTGATCTTGATGACGATGTGGAAGAAGATATGGAAATAGAAAATGACGAGGCTTTGTCAGAAGAAGATGAGGAATCAGAGGATGAGAACTCTGACTCAGACGTTACGAGTCATCCCACAAGCAGACTAGAGAATGATACAGAATCTATTGCTCAGGCACCGCATGTGACCACATTCAAGTGGATCAGCGCAATGTCAATTAAATTGGTGCAGGGTGCATCATGCACAAAATTGACAGAATTTTTGCGCTCTGCAGAGCAACTAATGCACTTTGACACTCGATTTCAGATTGTTCGCGGCGATATCGGCAAAATTCAGACAATTGGCAAACAAAAAGTTGACGGACTGGCTTTTCCAACGGCATTGTCGTTGCTAAATCCGCACAGTGGCGCAGCGTCGGTGATTTTCCAACGTGCAGGTCAAAGATTGCGAGATCATGTCTCGACGTTAAATGTCAGACTTGACGTTGGTAAAACACATACAACCCCAGGTTTTGCTGCAGGTGTCGACAAATTGATTCACTGTGTGGGTCCAAATGCATATAGTCCGCACTGTATGAGAGATTTGCAACGGACATACAGAAACGTCCTACGGGCTGTTGAAAGAGAGAAGCTCACTTGTGTTGCCATGGCATCTATTTCCACTGGAAATATGGGGTTGCCAGTTGAAAAGGCCGCGTGGTTTGCATTGTGTGCAATTCAGCGCTACATGCGCTCTACAGATTGGACGGCAACGATTGGTATTGTGTGTTTTGATGCAGACGTATATGATGCTTTCACCAAGTTCAAAGCAAAGGTGATGACCCAGTTTAATGCTAAGAAGCTGCGTGCTTCACCGCCGCTACGAAATCGATAAAGTGCTACACGGGAGGTGGTAGTTTTGAGTGTCCTGCACAATGCATATTTAAGATTGGTCAAATTTGTGTTTGGAAGATGCAGTTTTTAGCCTGTCAGCATTACGATATTCTATTGTAATTCCTTATTAATATTTGTTGTTACGTTAAGCAGTAATTACAGCTTCAAGGGGCGATCTTTTAGCAGTTGTTCAGATCACTAATGTCAAATCTAGTTAAAGGTCTCGCTGGTGACCTCACTGGATCTGCAGACGTTTGTAAGATCGTCGCAGACTTTTCTAAGTGCTTAGCATCAGACTATCTTCTTCCAAACGAGACTATTGCCTTCTCTATGGTGTCCGTCAAGGAGGAGTTTACGTTCACTAACATGGCTTTGATCCTGCTAGAAGGTGAGAGTGCAACCACTACTCGCAAGCTCGTGGAACGTTACGACTACAAGGATAACATCATTCAAAGCGTCAAGTTTGAAAGTGCTGGACACGTCGACCGCGACTGCGAGATCAAGTTTCTCATAGGTAACAAAAACATTTCGATTGACATTACAAAGAGTGAGCAAACGTCAGCTCGAGGAATCTACAAAGTACTAGAGCTACTGGGTCGAGCTCAGAGCTCAAATGAGCGTCTGTGGGAGATAAGTACTCTGAGCATCAAGCACGCAAGTGACTCATTACGTTTGACTGAAAATAGTGGTCAAACACTGCATAAGCAAGCAGACGAAGCAACTGCGTGGCTTCATGATGCGTACAAGCGCACCCATCCTCATTGCTATCGTGATATTATTCAAAAGGCGTTTTCAGATCTTCGACTTGTGGATCCGGTTACTCAGTAGACTAATTGACACCGGTATATGCGCTCCGAGGATCAAATTGCGATCATGTTCTTTAGTACGAGTTGTGTGAGCTTACCATCTTCTGACAATTTCAAACTGCCAGTGGCGCGATCAAATTACCTGAATGCTTTCTCCATAAAAAGATCGTACGAACAACGCAATTTACTTTTTAACCGAATGACAAAATCGGCATCCTAGACCGTCATCAGATCATCATTTTATATTGTTACATTGTTGTCTACGCTTACATAGTATATGTGGGATGACGCCGGGTTAGATTTTTAACTAACTGTTTGCCTGGTCGACTTAGTTTCCTTTAACGGCTTCAAAGTTGGTGCCGATTTGCTGTCTTTGTCAGCTGATTTGATACTGGTTGAATCCGTTGTCGTAGTTTTGGTATCCTTTTCGTCGCCTACCGCGTTCACGAAGACTCGTACCCAGAGTACCAAGCGTACCCGTGGTTGCCGTAGCTAGGGATTTCATACCCACTGTAACTGGGATAGCCGTATCCATAGTCATTGTAGCCGTAGCCGTAGCCATACCGTAGTCATAGCTGTCAGGATAGCCTTACCGTAGGTTGAGTCGTAGGTAGCAAATTGAAAAGTTAATGAGCAAGAGTTATGGATTTCATTGCGCTTTCTCATCCTGCAAATTATTGATCTTTCCATTGACGGTCACTTCGTAAGTCTCTTCCAAACATTTTGAGAGACTTAAAATGAAGAAAATATCGAAAGAGTCAGGAATATCATGATTGTGTGTATTTCCTTTTGCAATTACTTCAACTCATTCTTGAAGCTTCAATCATCTTAAGAGAGAGTGAATCGAAGAGACTTATGACAAGACTGAAGTGACTGTCAATGGAAAGATTAATAACCCGCAGTTTGAGAAAGCGCAATGACGTCGATATCTCCTGCTCATTCACTTTTCAATTTGCTTCCTTCCTCAGCGAACCAAAACACCAACCTAACTCAAGAAGTGCACCCATACAATGCAGCTCAAAACACTTGCAGTGCTGGGTCTCTGTGGCTGTGCTCTGATCCTGCTGACGATTGAAGGTCGAGGTACTCCGGCCGGGAAAATTCCCCGCCGTCAGCTTGGCGCCTACAAGGACTACGGTCACTATCCGCACAAGCACGGTTATGATGACAAAAAAGGACATCATGACGTGGGCAAGGATCACATGCAGTACCGTCGGCGCCTTGAAGATAAGGCCACTGAGTCCTCGGACTATAGCTACAGCAAAGACGATTATGATCACAAGGATTACGGT